GGCCGGCTGCCCCGCGCCTGCCTCGCCCAGCTGGCCGGCCAGCCAGGAGGGATGCGCCGTGCCGCCCAGCTCCCCTCCGCCCTGCCTGTGCCCTGAAGCAGAAAGTTTGGGGACCAGGGGTCGGCTCCCTCCTCCCTCCTCCAATGACTGCCCAAGGACTCCTGCTGCCCAGCCTCGACTGTGACCTGCCTTCGCTCCCCAGGTCGCAATGAACTATTCCAAGCTGTAACCAAGCCTCCCCATCTCTGCCCCTCCCTCAACCGCCTTTAAGATTTTTTTTTTTTAATTCAAGAAATTGTGTCTGCCGCCTCCCCTCCTTGTTAATAATTTAGACCCCAGGCCTCATTTCTGAGTGTAAGAGGGGGTGCGGTCTCCCCCCAAGACGGCGCGCTGGAAGGACAGATTCCCCTTGCCGACCCACATACACCATGAAGAGGTGCAAATCGGACGAGCTGCAGCAACAGCAGGGCGAGGAGGATGGAGCTGGGCTGGAAGATGCCGCTTCTCCCCTTCCGGGCGCGGACCTCCGGCCTGGGGAGGCCACGGGTGCTAACTCTGCTGGCGGGCCAACTTCAGATGCAGGCGCTGCCGCGGCGCCCAACCCAGGTCCCCGAAGCAAGCCTCCTGATTTAAAGGTGAGCGCAGACCATGCCCTGACCAGCCCAGCCCGTGACTTAGCTTTCGCCACCCCACGCAGAAGTGCTTTAACAGGATAAAAGTGATGGGGGAAGCCAGGCAAAGGTCAGAAATGAGCGGATGTTCGGCTGGCACCCTTGGGGGAACATCAGGTACTATTTGTGCCTCTGTCTTTCAGCTCCATTTCTGGCCTCTATGTTTGTTCCCCATTATTCAGCAGACATTCTAGTGACTCACCCATCTGAGATTGAATGTGTGTGAAATGCTGTTCGCAGACAAAGGACTGGAGAAACCCAAGGTGCAAATTCAAAAGTTGACATCACTTTCCCTTCTGTAGGAGATGTCAAAGGAACAAAATTGCAGCGTGGGAGGCCAAGTAGGTGTCCATTAGTTTCCTTTGCTGAATGAGTCTCCTCTCATTGGGAGCTTTGATCTTTGATCATTGGGATCTAGGATGAAGCTCAGTTTGTCCATCTGTGAAAGGGGGGTGTGGATTTTCTGCCATTAGGTGGAGCCAGAGGTTAAGCTAGTGCTTAGAGATCCCCGCCTGCCTGCTGAACCAACCCCCAGGGTGGAGAACTGACAGGTGGCCCAACAGTGCTTGGGCTGGTTTGGGGCCTCAGTTCAAGTTGCACACGCTGAGCCGGCAGCTAGAACCAAGAGCCGAAAGAATTGTTCACACGGACCTGTTTATTTTCTGGCCTGCGGTTGCTGAGACAATTGGCGAGCTGTGTTGGATTTATCTCTGTATCAATTATAACAGCAGCTAGGATAAATAATGCACCTTTACTGGAGCTGCCACGGAGGCTGCAGGCTCAGGCTTCTCAGGCCATCTCACGGTGTGGCTGAGCGAGATGTCAGCCCAAGGAAGGAACTTAGATGCCTTGGAGATTGATGCCTCAGGGGAATTTTCACCAGAGAGGGTGCAGGGTCTGGGCTAGGGGAACCGAAAGGACTCCGTTACATTAAATAAAGCCTGTATCCTATGGCAGCAGCCACTAAGGAGCTCATCAGAATAAGCCAATGACATTCCTCATTTGGCCTGAGCGGCTTGGAGTCAGAAAGTCAGAGTGCAGGTGAGTGTGTGTTCTTACCTGTGTTTGTTACCTGTCTGCGTTCCCTGGGGAGAGGTGAAAAGGGGGACAACTAAGTCCTCGTGGTGTGTGCTTTTAAGAATTTATGGTGGTTGTTCAGATCTGACTTCTGGTTCTGTCCTTTTCAGAGGTCTGTGACTAGCCACATGTCTAAAGATGAGCTCTGTTGGAAGGCTCTGCACAGGAAGCTTGCATGTTAGTTGCGTCCTTGATGTCTATCCTAGCTGTCACCCCTGAGTCCACTCCATGCGGTCAGGAGGTGTGGTTTTTGTTTTAAATGAGATGGTGAAGGTGAAGGGGTCCCTGTAATGCTGTTGTTGGGAGGAGATGAGCCTTCTGCTGCAGACTTCATTCAGCCTCATTCTAAGCTGGTCCAGATGGGTCTGGCCAGCAACCTCTGATTCTTTGACCAGAAGGGATTTTCACCTGAGTCCATGAGAGGCAGCTTTGAAAACTCCCTCACTCTCCAGCTCGGGCCAGCAGGAGGGATTGCTGGCTCCAGTCATTTCCGACAGTTGCTTTTTTGAGGGAAGGTGGACCGGTGTGGTGTGGGGGCTGCAGTGTCTTTGTCTCTGTAGATAAGTCTACCTTAAGTGTGTTCATTTCCACCCTCCTATATCATCTTTCTCTTTTTTTTTTTTTGCTGACACCCTCATTCTGGTCCAGGGAAGATATAGCAACAGCTGTACACTTGATATTAACTACTGAACTTCCCTGAACCAGAGTTGAAAACAAGTGCAAGAAAAGAAGGCTCCCTTCCCATCCCCCGGAGAAAGTGTCCCACTGAGGTCCAGCATGGCAAGGAGGACCCAGCAAGGAGGACAAAACCCAGCTGCTGCCTGCTCATGGGAGCAGAGAAACAAGGCAGGCCTTTTCCTGTTTATCGCTGCCTGCTTCATCACAACTTGTTTACTAAAAGGCAGGGTACTTCACAGCCAGATATAAACTTGGGGGCCATTGCAGTTTGATTTGCTGTGTGGTCTTGGGCTAAGCACTCAACTTTTCTGAACCTTTTTCTGGAGAAGGGGACTAGGAATATTGGAGTGTGTCCAAACTTGTTTTCCAGTGCTGGAAAAGTTATTTTCCAATGTGGGCATAATTTTCTAGTGAAGGAAAAATCCCATCATTGACTCCAGAACTGGATAGAAGTTGACTTGCTTTAGTTTTGCTGGTGATACCAGAGAAGGACAAGTTTAATTTTTAATAACCCCCTACCCCACACCTGTGTTTGACTATGGCATTTAAGCAGTTCTGGCTTGCTTTTGATTTCTTTTTTTAAACTTTGGAGATAGGAACTTTTGGTCCCTTAGTCCCACTTCTGTTTTCTCATGGCAGCTCCAGGCACTGTGATGAGTTAAATGCATTAGAGGAAATTGTCTTGAGAAAGGGGTGGAAAAAGGGGGGTGCTTTGTCTAAAGCACCTCCTAGAGGCTGGGGAGGGAGGGAAAGAGGAGAGAATTTTCTTCTTTGCCAAAGAAATCTGAAGGAAGCTTAACATGTTTCCTAGTGACAGCCAGTGGTTTCAGGAGCTCCTGTGGTCTCCGTCTGGTCCTTCAGCGCTATATAGCACCTTACTGTGCACTGTCAATTTCTGCTTTAGTGGCCTGGGATCTGCCATTATAGGGCGAGAAGAGCCAGTGAAAAGAAGACAAATAGTTAAGCAGCAGAGTTTAAAAACTTTAACTGAAAAATAGCCTGAAAATGGACATTGCCCTACAGTTGGCTTGTGCAGATACTTTAGAGACCTTCTTAGCTACTCCATACACCTGTGTAACCTTTGGGAAAGGTCTCAGCAGACACCGCTGCCACAGGAGCCCAACAATTCAGCCACATTCCCCAGCCACTTGTGGCTTGAATTTTTTTTTTTTTTTTTAGTTGGAGTCTCACTCTGTCACCCATGCTGGAGTGCAGTGGTACGCTCCTGGCCACCGCAGCCTTGACCTGCTGGGCTCCGGCGATCCTTCCGCCTCAGCCTTCCAAGAAGCCGGAATTACAGGCATGCACTACCACGCCTGGCTGATTTTTTGATTTATTGTAGAGATGAGGTCTCGCTGCCCAGGTGGGTCTCGAACCCGCAGACTCAGGCAATCCACTCACCTCAGCCTCCCAAAGGTGCAGGATTACAGGGCTGAGCCACCGAGCCCGGTTTTTAAAATTTTTTTATTGTAGAGATAAGGTCTCACCAAGTTGCCCAGGCGTGTCTCCAACCCGTGGGCTCAGGCAATCCACTCACCTCAGCCTCCCAAAGTGCGGATTACAGGCTGAGCCACTGAGCCCGGCTGGTGGCTTGGATTTTTGTAACCACTCGAGTTCATGCCTCCATTCATTAGCCCTCATTATCCAGTCCTTTGCTGCTACCAGACTGCCTGCTCTTTGGGAGGAGATGCTGGGCTTGCTGGCCATGGAGTGCTGGCTGACCAAAAGGACACTAGAATTCTCTAGTGAGAATGGGAGGGGAGAGGAATTTATAGGAAAACTGCAGAAAGAGTCAGGGAGCACACATTCCTGCTAAAAATACGCATGTGGTATATCAGGCATGTTCAACCTTCAACCCTTGAGCCACATGCAGCCTAAGACAGCGAGTAGTGCATCCTCACAAAATCTTTTAACATCATGTGAAAACAAACATTTTGACGCGAACCTTGGGAAGTCTTACTATGTATATACACTAACTATATTATATCATTTATGTGCAGCTCAAGACAATTCCTCTTTACTCGAAGCCAAAAGGTTGGACACCCCTATGGTAGATACTTCTGAGACCCGGGATGGGTGACCAAACATAAGAGCTGAGCTAGTTCTATCCTGACACACTGTGGAAACCTGAAGGCAGGGAGGACTTTGCAGACTTCACCACCTCTCCCACTCCTGCTGCAGCCGAAGGAATTGAGCCTTTTCTGAAAGGAAGGATCTGGGCCTGCTGGCCAGAGGCTCTCCCTTGGGCTTCCCTTAAGGTTCTTTTTCCTCACACAAAAGCCCCTGTGAATAATTTCCCCAGAGATTTCTAAACAATATTAATATCTTTCCCTGAAGAAAAAGGGGCACTCCAAATTCCATTATTCCCATCCTGGTTTGGAGTGCTTTTGACTCAGGATTTATCTGGGTCCCAGCTCATGTTCTCCTATTCACACCATATACTCTTGTCTCTTATCTGCTCAGAGTAAAGAGTAGGAAAAATAATTGCAAGACAAATATCTGAGAGGAAGTCACAACTGAATCCTGTATGGTTCTCCCTGCAAGCTCACTACTTTTCCCAGTGGTCACAGGTGCTTCAGCCCCTGAGTGGCCTGTGTTCCTTTAACACTGCTGTCGAGATCCCACTGGACCAGGAAAGGTGCTGTGGAATTAAATTGTGAAACATGCATATAAAAGTGTCTGGTGGGTTTTTTCTTCTTTCTTCAGGTCTTTCTGCCATGAATCTTTCTTCTTCCTTCTTCTCTCTTTCCTCCTTAACAAACATTGTTTTAAAACTTTGGTGGGGCCGGCGCAGTGGCTCATGCCTATAATCCCAGCACTTTGGGAGGCCGAGATGAGAGAATTGCCTGAGCCCACAGGTTCAAGACCAGCTGGGCAACTTGGCGAGACCTCATCTCTACAATAAATAAAAAATTAGCTGGGCATGGTGGCACATGCCTGTAATTCCAGCTACTTGGAAGAATGAGGCGGAGGGATTGCCTGAGCCCAGCAGGTTGAGGCTGCAGTGGCTGTGAGCTTGCCACTGCACTCCAGCCTGGATGTCAGAATGAGACTCCAACTCAAAAAAGAAAAGAAAAGAAAAGAAAAAGTGGCTGAAGGCTGGACTCAGTGGTTCAGCCTGTAATCCCAGAACTTTGGGAGGCCAGGGCGAGTGGATTACCTGAGCCTGCAGGCAACTTGACAAGACCTCATTTCTACAATAAATAAAA